GTGAGGTGGGTGTTGGTCTTTTTCTCAAGTAACTAGCGAAAGAAGAAGAGGAAATGGCTTCAAGTTGCGCCAGGGGAGGTTTAGACTGGTGATTAGGGAAAATTTCTTTATGGAGAGAGTGATCAAGCATTGGAACAGGCTGCCCAGGGAGGTGATGGAATCACCATCACTGGAAGTGTTCAAAAAAAAACCGTGTAGATGTGGTATTTCCGGACATGGTTTAGTGGGTATGGTGGTGTTGGGTTGATGGTCAGACTTGATGATCTAAAAGGTGTTTTCCAACCTTAATGATTCTATGATTCTAGGACTCTATCTAACCAGGATAGCCAAAGTTTAGTAGTCTATCTGCATAGCAGTCAGCCCTTTTTCTCTTTTTGTTGGATTGCAGTATCTTTCAAAAACAACAACAACAAAGTAGGAGCCAGTTTCAAAAGTCAGCTTTGGTATCAGAAGATACACATCAATCATCATTACTACTATTTTGGTCTCCTTTTTCTAATGACTTTTTAGTGATATCCTACAAGTAGAAAAATATGCCAATGTGCATTTGCATAACAATCTGAATGAATTCTGCTTTTTTCCTTATTACCTATATGCAAAGATAATTGAAAATTTATTTAAAAGGAACCAATCACTTAAGTGAGCTGCTTTTTAATTTTTTTTTTTTAAATGAAGGTGATCCACAAATATTTTAAAGCAAAGGTAGGATTACATGATTAACATTACTAAAAAGGAAAATACATCAGCAAGCACACAACAAATTTCAGTAAATTTACTGTCTTTGGGCCCCAAACTCTTCGGTTTCCAGTTCATGACCTTAACCGATACAATAATGTAATTTAAGCATTGATTAGGGCAAAGATCAGCAAGGAATAAGTAGATAGGCAGACGGAAAACACTGGACCCTGCATGGTGTCTCAGGGAGGGAATCTCTTTCTACATGCCCTATTCTTATAATCTCCTCTAAATACTGGGCATTGTCCTCACATAATCCTGGATAAGAGGCATCTCTGATCTGACCCAGTAGGGCAGCTGTTATGCTCCTATTTGCAAATACTACAGAACGCTACCAGTGCTAAGTAAACATCTCCATATAAGAGATGGCAGAGTTATGGTGCTTTCTTTTATACATACTTGATGATGTTAAAAAGCTCATTTGAAATATCATATTCAACAGACCATAAAAGAACATGATAACATTACAACATATGGCCATTACAATATATGGCCATGGCCATGTCATATGTTTTCTGACATTTTTAAGTGGCTGCTGTCATTTATCAACAGTGGCTATAGAGGAGATGACAAGACAGAGAATGCTGAGTGTAACTGGGACTATAATCTTCATTTGTACTTAATACAAGTGCACTAGATCTACAGGCTTACATAATGCACTAACAAAAGCTCCCAAAACTACTTGAAAAATCACCTCTAAAAGCATTCATTTTAGTTCTGTTTTAAGGTTTAATTTCCTGAAGCATGTATTCTAATGGAATTCAATAATATTACCATTTCTTCACTAGTCTCATGGGCATTCTCTGAAGCAGCGCTCATGGCATCTGGAGACGACCCATCACAGTTTTCAATCACTGTGCCTCTGTCATGGGCATTTTCTGATGGGCTTTGATAGTTTCTGGCTGTAATACCTTCCATATATACATCAGAAAAAACATAAAGTTAGCATAGCATAACCTGAATCACTCCTGCATTAAGAATAAAGTCAGTGTCAGTTACTGTATGCATACATTAACTAATTTTTTAAGATGAGTTGAATGGCTTATTAAACAAATATTCATGATTGAACTGCCAAATCCATTCCTCTTACAGAGAGTTCAAACTTCTAGATGCTATGCAAGTAGGGAAGGATATAATGACAAAATCAAAATGGCACTCTACGTGCATTACTTAAAAAATTGCAAAGGGCCTTTTCTAGTCTTCCAAATCAAATATAAAACTGATCCAGCAGAAAAAAAGGTTAAAGATTCCAAGCCATGTATCTAAAACACTGCACAATGCCTTTAGAGTAAATGTGTGCAGTTTTATGTTTAGAGAAATAAGCTATATATATTTTTGTTAGTGATCACGGTAGTGTTTCCTTGACGACTAGAAAGCACGCAGACTTAACCTGCAGCTAAATATTGTTTAACAAGATAAAAAGAAATAAAAATGTTATTTAAAATGGAAAATTTATTTTATGGCATACTACCACATAAGCACATGCAAGAATACTCCTACAATCCAAATATATAACAGGTTTGCAAGTGAAGCATTCTTCTCATTATTGCTCTAGACTGAAAAGAAATCCTACAGAAAAAAATACTGTCATTCTTTATTCAAAGTAGAATTTATCAGAAAAGAGGTACCAACGAAGTCTTATTGTATTTCCTGACATTAGAAAACTATCTAATCAGTTTTGCCAGAGACCTACTAGATCATTACAATTGTATAGTCTGTAGTATTGTGGACTTATGCAGACATAATTAGCATATGCATGAATTCCTCCCTCAGATCAGGAGCAAACACTCACGCACAGATGAGCAAAAATTGGACAAATACCTGCTGTTAGACAGTCAATAGCCAGGAACTGCTCTGTAAGGAATCAGCTGCAAGAAGACTACCAGATCTATTTGCCTGGTAATTAGCACAGTGAATATTAGCGAAAAGCCATTACTTTTTCATCTTTAAAAATTAAAGCTTCTTTACCATTTCAAGCATAACACTGATTCAGGGTACAAACCTCTAAACACTTACAGCCAAAGCAACAGCTTTTAAGCAAAGCAGGGAACAGTTCTACTTAATTCAGAGTTGCAACATAGCACTGCAATGCTTTTACACTCCTCAAGAGAGGAAAATTAAGTGGTATTTAAGTAGAAGTACTTAAGCCGCACACCTTATTGCTTTCCCTTGAAATGATGTGCTGTGAATATACTTGGTATTACTGACTGGAGACGCAAACAGAAATAGTGCTATACTGCTGCACTACAATCCTTTTGAGTATTATTTTAGCAACAAACAACATTTTAATGTATTGCTTAAAAATAGTTTGTTAAACCTACTCACCTTTCTCGAGAAAGCTTTGGCTGTCACTTCCATCACTCTCGACCAAATGATCCTCTAGCATCATACTATCAATAGAGATGGTATCCAGAGAAACTTGTGATGGACTTCTCTTCATATTCTTGTAAGAAACAGAGAATGCAGGGAGGTTGGACGGGCAGCGTTCCTTAGGCTTTGCACTTTTTAAATGTAAAGATATTAGGAAATTATTATTTCAAATTAAAGGAATTACACAGAAGTTAATTTTAAAAATTCCTCTAAAACAGGCAAGATAGAAAAAAATTTGAAAACTCAATAACCCTTTGGCAAGGGGAAAATTTTTATAAAAAGAGATAAGCATAGAAACAACACACATTCCTGTAGATATTTGTGTCGCTATTTTTCTCAATACATATTTCAAAACATTTAAACTGAAAATAAATAGTTTAAATCAATTAACTAACAGTTGGTTTTCGCTTTCATTGAATGCTGGGTAGTGCATATCTTGTATCTTTATACACTTTTAAGTTTTTCATCTACTAGATGTTCACTTCTCTTGACCATTATGTGGCCAGTATGTGGCCAACAAGATTGATAAATATTTTCAAATAGCAGGAAAACTGATTTAGTATTAAATCTTCTATACCTTGATGAAGGCTGAGATGCAAACATTCTAACTGAAGTCACTTTGTTGATTTCAAGCTCTTCAGATTCTAAGGCAGTTTCTGTTTCCAAGTCAGTGACTTGGTTAGGACAGCCTTCATTTGTGCCTTCCTGTTCATTTAACTTATTTGAGAACATGTTTTTGTCATCCTCTTTATCAATGAACAATTCAGTAGAGTCTTCTCTCTTATTTAAAATGGATGCTGAATCCCTAGGATGCAAACTACTTTTCTCACTTAGAGGTCCACAGACCTCCTCTGAATCACTTCTGCTAAAAAGTCCACTGCTTCCTCCTTCACTCGTATCTCCCAAACCTTTATCTGATGCATCATCTGAAAATGACGTTCCTTTCTGAAAATCTGTAATACTGTCTGATTTAAGCAAAAGAGGATCTGTTAAAATTTCTTTATTAACTTCAGCATTCAGAGGCTTGCAGTCATTTACATAATCAAAATTAGTAATACCAGCTTGCATCATCTTATCGCCAACTAATTTATTCTCTGAAGGAAGAGCTTCCCCATTTCCCAAAGGGGAGAGTTCTGGTGCCATGGGACTTCCTTCTTCCACAACCGGAGACTTACAAGGGTCTCCCTGAGTCACCGGATGGAGTAGTAAGGCTACTTCTGCACTTTTCAGTAGGATCCCAATGCAGACATCTGTTTGCTTTGCAGGTTTTCCTGTCACTGCTTCTACATCATTCCTTAAGTTTTCCAGGAGCAATACGAGAGATTCATGGAGAAACAGCAAAAAAAGATACTGGTAATGATTGATCTGCAGGCTTACATGTTTTTGAACATGGACAAGAACATGTACATCTGCATCAGAGGAATAGCTTTCAGAAAGCACTCCTGAAGTGTCTGACATTTGAATGCCATTGGTCAATGGCTCCATCCCACTGCTGTAATATTCCTTTAGAAGTTTTTTACGTTGCAGTCTATTAGCAAGATCGCCAGATTCACTTTTTGGAATGTTCAAAGCTGTCCGATTATGTGATAAAAGCTCTTTTTGTGACTTTGCAAATCTTACTGGCTGGCAAATCCAAAGTGAAAGTGGGAATGAGTCTACAAAGCTTATTGGTCGTCCTTTCCCACTTTTCATTCCTTCATAATCTATCCAAAACTGAGAAAAATGCAAGGCCCAAACATCCGTAGCTGCAGATGTCTTTAATGCGTATCTATTCAATTTTGGGATGATATAACCTTTATAAACATCATGCATTTTAGTATCTTGTTCATGAGCATGTCTCTGGAAGATTGGATGCAAAAGATTAAAATTCTTCTGGGACTTAGGAAAGGTGGTGAAAGTTCTACTGAAAAATTCACAGTCCTTGAAGTTCTGAAACAAAGCTTCTAGATCAGAGTGTCTGCAGTTTGGCGAGTATCTTGTATTCGTAGCAATCATCTCTGAACTTTGAATGGAAAGTGCATGGGGTTGATCTTTATGAATTTCAGGATTGTTTTCAGATGGGATGATGAACTGCAAGAGAGAAATATATTTTGTCTTGTTAGAAATATGTAAAGTAAGAATGTATACAATTAAAGAAACAAAATAATAGCCATGACAGCTAAAATAAAGGAATATAATTTTATGAGAAAAGTATACTAACACAGAACAAGGATAAATCAGGCTCACAGACTGTCATTTGTATTTACCCTCATTTTTAAGAAGGACACTATGGCATCTGAAACTCAAATGTTTGTACAAAAACGTAAAGGTCTCAGGTTTTTCTTATCAATTTAGAATTATGTCAGCTATATGAGGCTGAAGTGTCTCATTTCTTCAACGCAGAAACAGCCTGGCAGAAAGTTTCTTCAAGTGTTCCAAGTATTTACAACTTTGAAAAACAGAGAATTATAATTTGGAGTTCAATCTGATTTGTCAAATATGTTTTTTCACTACAGTGAGTACTACAGTATTTTATTTCTATGTTAAGATGCAAGGAAACAATTAAATGTGCTAACACAACTAATATTCTTACCATTGAAGAATACATACAGAATACGTATTTTGTGACCATTATCTGATAATCATGATTTTTTAAATAAAAATATACTCCAACTCCTAAAAACAACAAAATAGTTCAGTATGCTGGATTTAATTTAACTTGCATATCTTTAGTGCAAGTTTTAAAGGAAATATATATTTTACGGCAAAACCTGTATCTGATGTTTTTAACATGGACCTTGGCCACTAGTTTTGCTAGTATCAGTGACACTACCTTCTGTCACATCTCCATGCTGAATCTAGAAAGATCAGAGTAAAAAAGTCACCCTAAAGACACTTAAAAGATGGGAGTGATGAAGCTTCTTCATGTAAATAAAAGGACTCAGAACAAAATAACCAAATATGTAACTATATAATAATTAGCTATATGATGTATAAACGTCAAACACACCAATAGTAAAAGAGTCATAATTTGCTAGAATAAAAGTAATGCAGTTAATACAGGGATGAAACAATTAATATGAATCAAGGTTTCAGGGATTTAGGAATAGTTTTACTTTTATCTTCTCTTAGTTTAATGGGCTATTCACATACAGTAATTCAATATTAGATCAGCCTGTATTTGTAGCTGCCTGGTTGTTAGCTCTCAATAATTGTTTTCATTCAGTACAAATCACATCCTTTTAAAGTTCCATTAAATATGCACCAAGAGCCTTAGGAAGATAACTTATGGAAAGATGGTTGACTTTTTAGAACCCTTGAAACCTTTCCTGTGGGCACCATCAAAAAGACTCATTATTTTGTTCACCTCTGAACCTTGGAAAGTAAAGCCCAATGCAAACTGGGGCGAGGGGGGGACAGATGAGGACGGGGGGGAAGGAGGGGGGATTTGTCTGATCAATAATCCTTCTCCTCCAAAGAAGATGATAACACAGGAAGCAAAAATCTGATGTTCAGCTGCATTAACAAGCACCAGTGTGAATCAGAAAATAGTGATAATGGGTTTTGGAGAAGGAAATAAACCTTCAGATGAACTGCTTGCTTTACTCCAGGCATTCACTAAGAAGACTAAAGAGTTTTGATATACTACTATCAGAGGAACACGGGAGGGGCCCTTGCATTAATACTAAGTGCAAATATAATTTTTTTTCTAGTTATTTTGACTTCAGTGCTGAATTTTTTTTCTCCCACTATGTCAGCTTCATTGAACACAGTGAAATAATTTGTTAATACTCCCATTCAGGTCTTCAATATAAAACCAAAATACCCCTAGGACATATAGATGGTGTAGTATGGAAGACATGTTTTTCTTCAAACCATCATATTCTGCATTGTTTTCCAGAATAGCAATGCTTATTGTGTGGGTTGTTTGTTCATGTATTTGGACATTTATTCCTTAAGCTGCTTTGCTAACAGCTTTTCAGAATAAGAGAAAAAGTATTTTCTTCCAAGCAACCACAAAATCCCTCCTCAATGACAGTGTACCTTTAACATTAGTCCATCAACTCTAACATCAACATGTTCATCTGATTTTGAGTTGTCATTTAACTTGTACATGGCCATGAACTGAATAAGACTCTGTTTCAAATCCAACACAAACTGATTTAGCCACAGAATACTTCTCTCATCCAGGGTGAACTGTAAAGCATTCAGCTGGCCATACAAATTTGGACATGGAACTAAAAGAGAAAACAAAACAAAATCATGAGATTAAGTAAAATGTTTAGGGGTTGGTTTTGTTTTTAAAACAAACTAAGAAGTGCAGACTTACATTTTACTAGTATTTTACATCAGAGAAAGAATGCAAACCCACTCCTTTCGTCCCAAGGATACGTAAAGTGATGCTTCTTTCTCTCACTCCAAGCAAGTAACTGAATTTTTGAATGTAAAAGCTAGTATTAGACTAGAATGAAGTCTGAGGAGAGGGGGAGAATGTCCTCATTACAGAGGAAGGGCAGGACCAAGAAGATTTGCTGTCCTCAAGTCCCATCCCCAAGAAATCCATTGACATTTCTGTATATAAAACAGGGACAGCCCCATAAAGCATTAATAAACATAAGTCCAGTAGCATTTTGTTGCATCTTAGATACTACTGCAATAGTTTGAGCTCTTTTATGTAGCCATTGAGTTCTTTATCTAGCCAGACAGTGGAACTGCAGAAACAATATATGTATGCTGGAGAACGAATAATTTATGTGCCAGTAAAAATACTGTGAGTGTTTTCAGACTTAAAAAACATGTTTATAAAAAAAAAAATATTTATAGAAGTTTGCCAGAAGCAAGCACTATGGAAATGGAGTAGTGTTGTGTTTTTTCCATTTTAGAAAGTCATTACCTATTTCTAATTGTCAACTTGAAATCAGTATTAAGCTTCGTAAAGGTGAAAGTAACAGATAAAACTTATGGTTCAGTAAAAAAAAAGTCTTACTAGGAAAGTCCTTTCCATCTGGGTAGTAATATTCAGTGAATTCAATATGAATAGCTGGCATTTCTGGTGGAAGATAAAGTGACTTTTTATTGCAAGAGATCAGAGCTTTAGGGGAAGAACGACACTGGTCTGCTGTTGAAACCTGTAAGAGATAAAAGATTAATTTCATTAATACATTACATTGTTATGATTCATTAAGCACTTGTAGTTGCAAGGCACTGCCCCTAGTTCGGTAACATTCCACTGCTCTCAGATGCAGATCCCCAACTACATGAAGTGCTGACAATGAGAAACACCTAGTTGCCTTCTAGTAAGAAGCAATATGAATAGAAGTTTCACAAGAAAACTATATAGTATTAACAGTACCAGTTCCCCTTCCTTCATGTGAGGTGGGAGGCAGCAGGTCACTTTCCAAGGCATTTAGTAGAAGCCTAGAATGATCTGATATCTTTATTGCAAACACTACAGCTCCTGTAGAAGCAATTATGGTAGGACATGGTATATTTGCATACCATCTGTCCAAAAGGATCCCATATCTAGATGATAAGGGATAGATAAGCTAGATAAGCTTATTACACATGCGTTAGGAAGTCCTTAGGCTGTCATAAGGACAGATTCCAGTACATGGACCAACTCTCAACTGTATACTGCTATGCAAGGTGTTCAGCATGCATGTGGCAGAGATACATATTCTTGACTATGCCCGAAGGTCTACTTCACAGGAGACTCAAGACACTACAGAACAGTAATTCTCCATTTCTGTTTCCTTCCAATGTAAGTTAGGAAACAAAAAGAGAGATCACCTTTTGATATATGTGACCTTAAATTTCTTGTACACTAGTTTAAAAATTACGTTGTCAAAACAAAGCTCTTTCATCCAACACTTCGTAGGTCAGACTGCTAGATTGAAATTAGCCAAACTATTAATACTGAATGTATGATGATGTCTACTTGTATTAGTTTCACTGGAAATAATGAATATATAACCTTTACAAGCCTGCTTCACTCTATGTAGCTGTTTTCAAGCTGCAAACATCTCTGTATTAACACACAGAAAAACTCAAGTATTAACAGATCTATTTAGAAAAATAACTTTTTGCAAATTGTATAGAAATAATGACAATTAAAAGAATTGAAAATTTATTTGTGTAGGCAGGAGACAAGCATCTGAAGAGTAGAAGGCAAATGAAAACACCAACAGTACAAAATGATATTATAAAACACTTCAAACGCAGATGAAGGCTCCTGGCAGCAAACTGCAACCTCCCACTCTACCAGAAGTGATATATAGCAAAAAAGCATTGAAAATTGTAACAAGAGCAAGTAGAAGTCACAATGACTAAGGGTACACACTAAGCTTTTCTGTTAGGATCTGAACTTTACAGTAGTAAAACGAGGGTGTTGGCCTCTTCTCCCAAGTAACTAGCGATAGGACAAGAGGAAATGGCCTCAAGTTGTGCCAGGGGAGGTTTAGATTGGATATTAGGAAAAATTTCTTCACTGAGAGAGTGGTCAGGCATTGGAACAGGCTGCCCAGGGAGGTGGTGGAGTCACCATCTCTGGAAGTGTTCAAAAAACATGTGGATGTGGCACTTAAGGACATGGTTTAGGGGACATGGTGGTGCTGGATTAATGGTTGGACTTGATGATCTTGAAGGTCCTTTCTAACCTAGTGATTCTGCGATTCTGTATGGGTACAGTACTCCTCTACCACTACCATTCTGCCTTAGAGACATACTCCTTTTCTATTGCAGTTGCCTCCTATCTGCGCCAAAGGGTGAATCTGGACCATGACCAGCAACTAAGACTATTAACTCAAACAAATGGGGGTGGCAGAGTGGGGGGAAGAACGGTTAAGGTGCCTACTCAAAATACCACTGGGGGAGGAGGGGCTGAAGAAAAATTTTTAAAACTCTTAATTTAACATAAAAAAAAAAATCCATCTACTTTGAAAAGATAACAATAAGAAAAGCATGAGATACAAAACCACGTATTAAAGTATTGTGTACCTAACATAGCACAACGAAAACGTGAAATTCCAAATGTCAGGATTTGGGGAACAGTAGAATTTGGATCCAAAACATAATTGTGATAGGTTATCATCTAATACAAAGTCAATAAGAAAATATCCACCAATTTTAACAAAGAAGAAGCAGGCCCATAAAGGTCTAATCCAATAATGAATGGAAAGACTTCTATTAATTTCAATGGGCTTCAGAATTGTCCCTTAAAAACCATTGTTATGTAACAGCCAAGGGCTAAGTAGCCCCAGTTTTACTAACTTGAAGAAATGTACCTGATATATATTGAAATCTGCAAGTCTAACCACAATAGGACTAGACATCAGTTTGCCCTTTGGTTGTTGGGAAGATACAGAGGAAGCCCTAGATGTTCCTTTCGGTATCTGTTCCTTGCCTGTAGGAAAGAATAGTGATGGAATCATTGAAAAGAACAGTCTTTTTTAGAACAGTTTTAACATTTCATGGAATTAGAGCATTAGTGATGCAAAGTACCTGTTTGCAGGTTCTGAGGAGACACAGCAGGTGGTGATCTGGGAGGAGAATCTATGACCTGGTCCTTCACAGCCTGCTTAAGCAAGTCAACATTGCTTTTGAATTCATTTAATAATTCTTTGGCCCATCCACTTCTGGTTTTAGTGGCATCACTATAATGCATCCAGTGATTGCAGCTGTCTCCTACAAATAAGAAGAATAGGGAAAATATTAACTCATTTGAAAGTTTGCTGCTAATTGGATAACAAGTTTCCACTATTTCACAATTGTTCAAAATATAATCTCACTGCATGCTGTAATTGAACAGCATGGACACAAAATGGAACAAAATGGAACAACAATAGTTATAACAGACATTAAAACAGAAGTTATACATTACACAAAAACAAGTCTCACTGATTCACAAAATCACTCAGAAAACAATATAATATTGCCACCTGCCTTTTAACACCACTAACTAATGCTCAAAACATCATTGAATATTTCCAGTTCAGAGAAATTTGATGACACATTAATGCTAGAGGTGAGAACATGCAAAAAAAGTTTTATTGGGGGAAAAAAAAGTGAGAGCAAGTAGCAGAAAAATGTTCTCATGCTCACTTTTTCCAAGCTTATCTTTCCTGCCAGAACTGTGTCCTAAGAAGTTCCTGGTCCCTTTCCAGAAATGGAACTTTTTGTCTTGGCTCTCTAGCACCTTTATGGTACACAAACAAGAAGGTAAGTTCAATCAGTGCTGCAGCACACACAGCCTCAAAAATCAAGCCCACTGGAAATTCTTTTATTGCGAACATGTTTCTGTTGGTCAAACATTTAAACCTCTGGAAGAAATTGAGATCTCTTCAAACAGTCCCTGAAAAAACAGTTTACTAACCTGTTTGATAATAAGGATGCAGTACAAATAGCTTCTATCAAGCGGTACATCACTCTCTAAATACCAGCATGTAAAAACTTACTTTATTTGGGACTTAATGAGGTTTTGGATACTTACCCTGGAGATAAGTAGATATAGTTGCTATTAAAATAGGTAAATGGTTTGGGAAAAAATTGTGATTTCAAGTATAAATGCAAAGATTTCAGCACGGAAAAAACTTTAAGGAAGGGGCCTATCACACAAGACAACATTTTTCCCCACCCTCCAGCCTCACAGCTTTTTGATGGTTATTCACATCTTTCTAGCTAAGGAAGAAGAAAAAGGAACAGAGAAGAAAACAGAAAGAGAGCAAGAGAGCAAAGATACGTTCAATTCAAGTCCATGAAGCTGGAATTCTCCAAAACAGGGCTGAAGTGGGGTCACCCCAAGCACATGCACATATATTCTGAAGTACTTACAGGACAGCCACATTATAGGGAAAGCTGTCACATCCCTTCTGGGAAGTCAGTATGGGCAGGTCCCTCCCTGAAGTGCTTGCACACTAACACATGCAGCACGAGGAACATGTGGGAGCAGGAGGAATTAGAGATCTGCATGCAGTTGCAGGGCTATGATCTCACTGGGATCACAGAGACACACACACAACTGAAATGCTGCAAAGGATGGACACAGGCTCTTTGGGAAGCACAGGCCAAGAAGGCAAGGAGGGTGAGTTGCCCTTTCAGTGAGATCAGTGGGAACACATGGAGCTCTGCCTTGGGATGGATGATCAGCCAGCTGAACGCTTACAGGTCATGATTAGAGGGCAGACTGACATGGATGATGTTGTGGTGGATCTGTTACAGACCATCTGATTAGGAAGATGATGAGGCCCTCTTCAGACAACTGGAAGAAGTATCATGTTCACAGACCCTGGTCCTCATTAGGAACTTTAGCCACTCCAGTATCTACTGGAGGGACAACATAGCAAGACACAAGCAACCCATGCAGTTTCTGAAAGTGCATCGATGACCACCTCCTAACACAGGTTATCAAAGGGCCAGAGAGCACATGCTTCACTGGACCGATTCTTACAAAAAAGGAAGAAGTGGTCAGGGATGTGAAGGTCAGGGGCAGCCTTGGCTGCACTGACGGTAACATGGTGGAGTTCAGGATTCCAAGGTGAAGGAACAAGGCAAAAAGCTGAATGACACACAGGACTTCAAGAGAACAGGCTTCGGTCTGCTTGAAAGAACCTCATAGCCTATAACCCTGGCCAGAAGAGGGGTCCAGGAGAGCTGGCTGATGTTCAAGAATCACCTCCAAGCCAAAGAACAGCGCACCCTGAAAAGCGGGATATCTAGCAAAAGTGGAAGGAGGCCTGTGTGGACGAACCTGGAGCTCCAGACTAAATTCAAAGACAAAAAGCAAGAGTACAGGATGTGGAAACAGCATTGGGTTACCCAAAAACAATACAGAGGATGGTGTTAGAAATGCCAAAGCCTACCTGGAGTTCAATCTAATGAGGAACATTAAGGACAGCAAGAAAGGCTTTTACAGGTGTATCAGCAGCAAAAGGAAGAGTAGGAAAAGCTTGGGCTTGCTGCTGAATGGGACAGGGGACCTGGTGACAAACAACATGGAGAAAGCTGAGGTACTCAATGCCACCTTTGCCTCAGTCTTCACTGGTAACACTCGCCTTCAGAATTCCCAGGTCCTTGAGAATTTTGGGAAAGCCTGGAGCAAGGAAACCTTCCCCTCAGCAGAGAAGCATTAACTTAGGAAACATTTAAACAGATCCAGTCCATGGGACAGATCCTGATGAGATGCAAACAAGTGCTGAGAGCTGGCCAATGTCATGGGGAGGCCACTTTGAATTATCTTTGAAAGGTTATCACTGACCAGCAATCAGGAAAGGTTCCTGAGGACTGGAAGAAAGCAAATGTCATTCCTATCTTCAAGAAGGAGAATAAAAAGAATGACAGGCTGATCAGTCTCACCTCAAAGGAGGTACTGGAGGAAGGCAACAGAGAGCAACACAAGCAAATAATCCTGGAAACTATTTCAAAATACAATAAGGATAGGAAGATGATTGGGAGTACACATGCAGGGATTTATGATGGAGAAATCATGTCTGATGAATTTTATAGCATTCTACTATGAGATGACTTGCTTGATGGATGAGGGCAGAGCAGTGGATGTTCTTTACCTCAACTTTAACAATGCTTTCAACACTGTCTGTAACATGCTTAGTGACAAAACAATGGAATACTGAACAATGAAGTACTGACTAGGTAAGTACACAGTGAAGTGGACTGGAAACTGGTTAAACTGTTAGTCTTCAAGGATTGTAATCAGCAGCGTGAAGTCCAGCTGGAGGCAATCACCTGTGGTATAGCCACAGGGCCAATACTGGGGCCAATATATCTTCATTAATAACGTGGATGATGAGACAGAGTGCACCCTCAACAGCTTTGCAGATGGTACAGAACTAGGAGGAATGGTTGATACACCAGGTGGTTGTGCTACCATTCAGAGGGAGCTCAAAAGACTAGAAAAGTGACCCAACTGTAATCTCATGAATTTCAAAGGGAAATCGAAGTCCAGCACCTGGAGTACAGGCTAGAGGCCGACCAGCTGGGAAGCAGCTTTGCAGGGAAAAAACCAAACCACCACACAAAAAAAAACCCAAAACCCCACAAACCTGGAAACAGTAAGTTCAATATGAAACAGCAATTTGTCCTTGATACAAAGAAAGCCAACAGCACCTTGGGCTGCTTAGGAAAAGCACTGCCAGCAGGTCAAGGGAGGTGATCTGTGCCCTTTGCTCAACCCTGGTGAGACTACATCTGGAGTGCTCGGTCCAGTTCTGGGCTCCCCAGCACAAGGCAGCCATAGATTTACCAGAGTGAGTCCAGCCAATGGTCATAACAATACTTAAGAGACTGGAAGATCTTTCAAGAAAAGGCTGAGACAGCTGGGATCATTTAGGCTGGAGAAGAGAAGGCTCAGCAGGATCTTATCAATGTGTATAAATGACTGATGGGGGGAGTAAAGATGAGGGGGCCAAATTCTTCTCAGTGGTCCCCAGTGACAGGACAAAAGGCAATAAGCACAAGGTGAAATACAAGAAATGCCACTTAAACACTTCTTTTTAAAAAGAGCTTTTCTACTGTGAGGGTGGTTAAACACTGGACTAAGTTGCCCAGTGAGGTTGTAGAGTCTCCACCCTTGAAGCTATTCAAAACCTAACTGGAAAAATCCTGGGAAGCTAACTTTAACTGACATAAATTTAATCAGAGGGGTTGGACTAGACAATTTCCAGAGGTGCCTTCCATCCTCAACTATTCTACAATTCTACACATGGAGATGTCAGTTCCACATTTATCTGTGAAAAGTGAAGAGCAGGCCAGATTGTAACATGAAAACAATATTTTAGTGGAGCTAAAATCAGGGCTGGCACTGATGTTGCTACCATCTGAATTTATTGCTGGCTGCCCAGGAAGAAAATGCTTTCCAATTTCTCATATTGTCTCAGTGTATCAGCTTGATCAAGAATTTCCTGTGCTGCAAAATGTCCTGCAAGATGGCAAAGCAGCAGCTTTCTCTGATCATCATCCAGCAACACATCAGCTGCACAGATAATGGACCTGGATAAAAGCTTCTGTGAGCGCAGGTCTGGGAGGACTAGTAAAGCGATGGATTGCTGTGCAGACAGGTTTACAACACCCAGTAAGTCTAGCTAATGTTAGGGTTATCACAGTCAATGGACACACAACCTGCTTCACTCTTCTTAAGTACTATGAAAGGCTGTTGCTGGAAGGCTTGATTTTCAATAGATTAGGAATTTACCCTACAGCAATTGTGCCTCAGACTCCCTTTAGAGTCTTTCTGGGTGGGGTCTGTTACAAAAGCAAATAAACAAAAAAACCCACAAGAACCCAATCTGCGAAATAATTAATTGTTGAGGGCTTCTTCCCAAAAGATTAATCACCATTTTCAGGACGACTATACCAATAGAGCTAATTCTAAATATTCCATAGGACGGAGAGGTACAAAACCAGAAAACAATCTGGTAACAGTCACAGAAATATACAGCTTTTTCCTCCTTGCCCATTGCTACAGAGTATTAATACAGTGTTGTCCTTCAGTACGCAATATTGCAGAGCCACGACTTCAGGGTAGGAATGCTCTGCATATCAGGTGATAGCCTGATACAGCAGTATATAGAGGCATGATACCAACACTGTTAGAGAACTTTCAAGATTAATATGTGCTCCTTTTGAGTAAAGGAACTCTCTCTTCTGTGATGATAGTTTGCCTATAGAATTGCCATACCCTTTTCAAACAGTGAGAAGATGATGACCTCTTAAAGTGGAAAAAGAAACTTTCTAGCATGTTCCCTCCTGCTCCACACATACACCCTATTGGATCAAACACCACTACCTTTGGCAGTTTTTTTTCATAGCTTATTAGTGAGACCTAGATTTCTGCTACTTAAACATACTTGTACAGAACACCATTTAAGATTGCAGGAGAACATTACCTTTAGAGGCACCACCTTTGCTCTGCAAATGATCTTTTCCATCTCTGGTTTCATGTATTAAGAGTTATGTCCCATGTAGCCATTACCTAAAAGCACTCTCAGCGAGCTTCTAATGTACCCATCCAAGAGTCTACAGTGCATGGGTCAATCTGGCTAAGAATCCTTACAAAAGAAACAATCTATTTATTTCCCTGGTTTTCAACATCATCTCTAAGGAGAGCTCACAGAAATCATAGATAGATCAGACCCTCACTTAGACATAGTAGGAATCAGAAGTGACAGTAAATGAAAAACACAGCTGGGTCACAAGACAGGCATGTGTTAAACCTCTGTAACTTAAGGTCCCACTTTTATAGGACAGGACACCAATATCACAAATCTGAAATCATATTAGGTCAACCTATAGTAAGGAAAGAAAACTGTTTTTTCTTAAGCATATTCTTTTCTGTGGCTGTGTTTATTTGTTTTGTAGCAAAGCAAAATGTTTATTTGACCTACACTAAATTACATTTTTTAAGGTGCAAATACTATACTTGCTACTTATGAATGAAATAGATTGATATTACAGGATTCCATCTGCAACCATGAGTGATAAGAAGGACATGAGGCAAGCTACAGCTAATTCACACCTTTAATCTGTGTGGACAATCACTCTGAAATGACTGGTCTGTGTTAGTAAAAAGCAAAACAAAGCACAACCAAGCCCCCACCAACTAAAAGCCCCTCCACTGTACTGGATTGCCTTTGATCTGAAATTCAACAGCAAAACTATTTCACCTCTTCTAATTTTTTTAGATTTCTGAAAAAAAAAAATTACTAGAAATTATTTGTAAGAAATGTTTCTTTGGAAACTGCTAACATCTGTTTAACAACAATTCCTTAACAAAAGGCTATACAATTGGACCTCTACACACTGGGATTTTTATTTAGCAAAATAAAATAAAAACCAAAATACTGCTTAGAAATGGACATAAAATGATGGACTTCTATATGGAAAAATATCTAGCAGATTGACTCTTGCAAATATGCAGCTAGTGAATTCTCAATCCACCATACTGACTTCCTCTGTCAACACACAATTCTTTTCATGTCAGAAATGTGTAAACACCATTTTGTTGACCAAACAGAATGTGAAATGGAAAAGTGTTTGGCCTAAAATAGCTCATTCACAGAAATTAAATTGGTTCCCAGGTTATTGCTTTTGCTGTTTGTTTTTGCATATAGAAGGAAATAAAAAGGTGTGTATTTCAAATGCTTAGAACATTATTATCCAAGCTGTATACATATACGCACACAACACAAATTTTTTGGTATTCAAGCAAGATAGTTACATTCACAGGTGATTCACAAAATGCTCACTTTCATACCTGCTTTGTGAAATGGATAATAGTCCACTGTTAAATAGCTGAAGGAAAGCTGCATGGCCCCTCCTGTAACACGTCTATTTGAGTCTGTAAAATAAAACAACGCTCAAGTCTGCAGACACTGTATTTAGCATGGTAGTCCTCATGTTGCTGCATAGCTTTAAACACCTAACAGCTACTCTTTCCTCCCCTTTACTGGTTCTCCTTACAACCTCATTATCTTCCCTCAAAATTTTCATTCAGGTAGTCTTGACTGGTTTCTAAAGATCAGCTTGTAGAATTCCTTGTTCTGTACTCAGTCACTACTAGCAAACTGCATATTGTTTTAAATTCTATTAAAAAGTAAAGACAATTTTTTGAACACATATTACTGCAGTTTTTCTGAAAGAAAACTCACACTGAATATGATTATGATCAGTCATTTGAAGTCAATATTTAGTTTCAAGAATATTGTAAATATGATTTGGTTTATTTTATTTGACAAATATTATGGCAGTGAAGAGGTCTTCTGAGAATCCTCTATTCTGATTTTTCCACTGCTAAATTTAAACTTCATGGCCAAAAATAAAGGACCAATAAAGAGATCTCACTAAGAATGATAAATCCCAACTGCAGTAGATACACTGCATGTAAGGAAATACCTCTCCAGCCAGTGAACCTTGTGCTCTCCTGCTCTGCAAGTGTTTTCCCTAATCAAGGAAATACATTAGCTAAAACCTAAGTTTTTCATACTCTTTTCTTCATCAGACCTTGCATGCCTCAATATATTTTTCAGTGACTACCAGCTCCTTGGATATACATTGATATGTCATTCTCTTCTGATCACTTTTAACATGCATGAAAGAGGTGTCATTTCTCGTCTTTTTTTCTGATTCTAAATATGGCTATATGCAATAGACTACCATTTAAAGAAAAAAGTACAAGTATTACACACAAAATAAGGCCACAGAACACTTGTTCCATTCTTCCTATGTGCTGCAGAGTATACCAAATTCTCTAAATTAGTAACACAAAGAGGACTCCTCCTTTATTAGTCTGTATTTTATAAGCATAGTAAAGCAGATTGTATAGTGACCTTTTCAAGCCACAGTAATGTTGCCACTGCATTCTTCATAACCCAGTTAATATAAAAGAAAAAACCAGCAGGAACAGTCAGACTGGACAGAATCAGTTTGTAGAAGACAGGAAAACCACTGAAGCTACTAGCACTCTTAGCAGTTTTTATTGCATTTATTCTAAAATAATTACATTTAAAAATGAACTGTTGTCTTGATGGAGGCATATAGCTAATTTTAAATACGTCTACAGACACCGAAGACAATTCTGAATATTTCTCTAAAATAAAGACAGATTCTTGACTAACATTATTGTATTCCTCAAAATGTCTTGTAAAGATGATTATGGTTCACAGGCATGTTACTTTAAAAAAAAAAGTTACCTTTTTCTTTAGAATGGATATCATCACATATGTGTAGGTCCAAATGTGAAATTACTAAGTGATGAGAAGTCTCCTTAACATCAAAATCATTAAACAACTTTACTATTGCATCATTTTGATCAGGTGCTGCTGTTGTCTGGTGCGCTTTCACCTGCTGACAGCTGGGTGCAGGGGCAGAACTCTGAAAAAATATTTACTCATATCAATTTATAAAGTTTATCCTTCCTTTCAAGCATAAGCATCCTTTCACTTACTCAAAACATGCCTCTGAAATAATGAAAAATCTGCACCACCTTGGATTGTTACTGAGATTTAAGTGTGCTGTTTTAGAATAAAGCTAAACTAAGCTAATGGCTAGGTGTCACGAAGAGGCAATTCCAGTGCATTCCCCATTCTCCCCTTCCACTACACTTCTTTACATCCCTGTCACTTGCAGCACTGGTTTTCTAACTTCTGTTGCAAGCTGTTGAGGGAACTAAGCCAGCAGAAAACTATCAATTTTTTCTTGGACACATTTCTGCTAGTTTAGTTCCCCAAACTACTTCAGAGTAGCCAGTACCATGGAATTGGTGAGAAGCTAGTACAGGGAACTGAAGAATCAGGACCTCCTTGCTCAGTTACAGCTAACCACTTGATTGCGGTAGCTAAACCATCAAATCACATCATAAGTCATCAGGACCACAAGAACTGAACTCTCCATTACAGTACACTAGCTTTATTGTAAGAGATTCTATACAAATCACTTTATTCAAATCAGTCTTAGTACTAAATTATGTTTTATTTTTATAGGACTATCTTTTATCGGTGTATTTGTGCTGCTTCTTTACAGACAAGAAAAGGTCCCTCCCCCCAACACTCAAAGCCCAGTTAGCTGGTCTAGTCTGCTGTATGTGTTGAAAGAAGACGAAGATTTACCTAAGACTGTCTTACATGCAGCATCAATATCACATCTATGCCAGCAGAAATATATTAAAAGTAGAATTATTTTTCACTATATATTTCAGCAAGAGAGCTGCACGAAGGAAAGCTCTTACTAAAAGTTAGTACCATGAAAACAAATTGGACAAGCACTTTAAATCTATATCTATCCACACGTTAAGGTTACCTTATTTTATTTTTTTTTAATTCATAACCAGAAAATATATAGATACCAAATTCACTAAACAGCTAATCAACATAAGCAAATACAGAAGTCTAAATACTCTCTACATAGATAAAGAACTACAACTTTTTTCTTTCCTGCAATTAACATCAACACACAAAATCTTGTAAAATAAAGTCTATTTTACACTACTGTGATTCATTCCTGATGTAGTTTAAGATATAGAGCTGAATGAAACTGAGTAACTGAACGTTCTCTAAAATAAATTAACAAACACAACTAACCACACTGTATTTTTATTTTAGAGCATCTGGTAACGATATAGCAAGACAAACAATTAGCATACCTGTGTTGTTTCAGAAGCCAAGCTTTTTCTCTGTTCTGTTGATTTTTCTATGGCTTCACTAAGAGATTTGGCATACTGTACCATGGCTTTCAGCTGGGAATCAGTCAAAACCCATAGCAAATCATCCAGAATCAGAACCAGTTTTGATGCCACTACATTACAGTCCTTTAACTGTAGAATAATAATTTAAACAAGTTAAACAGGTCCATTTAAATACCGACATTTCTTACATCAAATACAAGGAAAAAAAAAGCTGAAAGCAAAACCACACTTCCAAAAAAACAAATTTTTTCCACATAAATAACAAACATATGTTTCATTTTAAACTGTATTCCTGTCACTAATTGAAAAGTACCAAACATATAGTATATTTATGCCTCACTTGTTATTTGTTTGGCATGCATTGGTTATTAAACCGATGCTTTTCTCTAAATGTAAGTAATGAAAATATTGCCTGAATCTAGAGAGGTGAGACAACATGCATCATCATAAACAAAGCTCTGCAGATCAAACAATTTCATTAGCAGAACCCCTGCAAGGTCTTAATCTTCAAATTCTGGCTGCAATATATTTTGTAAACTCTACAGTCTTACTTATTACATGTTATTAAAAGTTTAGTTCAAGGAATTCTACATTTTACATGGTCTAAATTTAAAATCTTTACTATGTGCACGTATGCATTAAAAGCAGGAGTTAAAAATGAATTCATAACATAATAAAAGATTTCAAACTTTTCAAGTTTACCCGTCTTTTAAGCGTGACCCTAATTTTTGATTGGTTAGTAATCAGACGAACTGGAGCACTCATGATTTCATGCTTAGAACTCTGGATTGCATCTGCTTCTATTCTGATCATCTGCCAGTTAATTTCTTTAAAAGTTAAAACCTTTAAAGAGAGAGAAAAAGAGAAACACACCTTCATGCAATATGACAGTTTACTTGCACCTAAGCATGTACATGTCTATGTACATATCTGTACATATATACACACACACTCACACGTAACCTTCATGCAGAGCCATATGAACAGAACAAATACAAGTCACCTGTTATTCCCTCAACACGTATCGGGAAGTAAAGCCCTGATCCTTCTCTCTACCTCCAGAATATCACCAAAATGTTAAGCTAGTTCCAAGCAGACAGCGGTAAAAAGCAGCATTTAAAATATTCAGAAGACGACAAAGGTCACAATGATTGCCTTCTAGGTTGCTTTTGGTAGAGGAAAAAAAAAGAAGATTGTGTAGTTTAGTGTCAAAATGCTAAATCCTAGTATATAGGAAAAGAGCAGGGAGGGAAGCAAAGCTACAGGATGAGAAAGGTTTTTAAAGTGTTTTATTTCAGTTAAAAGAGAAAGTTAAACATTGAGCACATTGTATGCCATATAGACCCCACAAGCTTTGAATCCATTACATGGATTTCTAGAAGACACAGCAAGCAAATGTTAGAGTAATGATACGTGACCAAATACAGCTGCGTAATGAAAATCAGCTATGGGAAAATGAGTGACTGTCCAGCAGCAGCAGCATGGAGAAGATCAAATGAATAGGACATCAAGATACTATTACATTAATACATTAATACTAGTTTCCTCTAAAACTCCTTCCTACATTACTCTGTGAAGAAAAAAAGATGAGCTAAGGGGAAAATGGAAGAGGGAAGAGTTTGTCTGGTATGTGTCTTATTTTTCATCTGTCATTATCCTCTTGTCAGTTTAAAAACAGTACAGCCTATGTCCTGCAAATATAAGCAAAGACTTCAGTAAAACATTCCCAGTGTGCTTCGGAATGAGGCACACACAATGAAGAAAGCAACACGGAAAGGCACAGTGCAAAGCAGTCAGAAAAATACCATTTGCAGAAAAGCAGAGTACCTACCCTCCGCATCCAGGAGATGCAGTGCAAATGGAAGCTTCTAAAAAAACCTCTAAGGAGATGCCTTTAAGAGTGTAGCTACAGTGTAAAGCTAGAAGTTTACTCCCTTAAAATGTAGCTTGACACATTACTTTATAGTACAGTATTGGTTTTGTTTTTTCACCTTTTCATGCCGTTTACTACATGACAAACAACTACATTTTCTAGAAATATGTGTTTCCAGAACTCACTGCACTAAAAGCAACACTCCTAAAGGAAAGTTCTCTTGTGTATGGGGCCACTAGTCAGAATCAAATTCTTCCTAAAAAGCAAAAAATAAAAAAATATGGCCATAAAAAAATCCACCTAGTCAAACTTTAGACTTCATTAACACATGCGCATTAGCATACAGATAAGCTGCAAGAAAGGCAAACTGTCAGAAAAATAGTTTTCAATTCATTATTTTTGTGGTATTTTTAAAAAACATTCTCTTGGGGTTTCTTTCCCCTCAGTAAACTCTGTTCTGGAATAATCTTCTCTAAATAGGCAAACATGGGCAAAATTTGAAACACCTAATTATCCAAGGCCAGACGAATGCTAATATAAGTCTTTCTCAATACAACATACAATATTTAGAATCAACCTTGCACTCAGTACATATTTTACTTTGGTTACATGGGAAAAAGCAAAAGAACAATGTACACCTATCTACGACTTCCATGTCAAGTTCTCCCAGACAGTAGAAAAGGATACGCTTTACTGCTATTGCCTCTTTTGTATACATATGATTTAGCTATTCCAAGAAAAATATTTAATTATTGCATAGGAATTTTCTTAAAATTCAGTTAAAACTGCTTAAAGAAAAAAACCCCTTATTAGGCAATCCCTCACAAGCAAATAAATAACCACTTAAAGCTTTAAAAATAATAAAAATAATAATTAAAAAACCTAGCACAACACCTTATCCTTCCACATTTAATATACCATCCCTTTTTCTTTCAGTACTCGTCAAGTCTGGTCTAGTTTGCATTTTAAAATGGTCACAACCTTGGAGAACATAAGAGGGGAACAGTACGTATGCTTGCCCCAGTCTTCGTTCTTCCCTAAGCATCCACTCTGGCCACTGCTAGAGACATGACATTTGATCTGACTCACATCCACCATTTTTACATCCTTGTGTTCCTAGAGGACAGCTGAAATTACTCAGCACAGAATGTCTCCATTCGCAGAAACAGCATGCTTCCTAGACCGTATAAGGTTGCACTTCAACCTCCTCCTCCTTTACCACAAAAACAAGAAAAAAAGAGTTAACAAAAGATAGTATTTACCTCTCCACGTTGAGCTTCCTGTATTCTGGTAAATCTGAGGTCAGCATGTTCCCAGTTTGCGTTTACACTATATATTCTCAGCTGGGAAAGTTCAAATGAAGCATTAAAGGCTTTCGCGCCAATCCTTATTATAATGGAGTTCACAGAAACTGAAATGCCTTCCACCACTTTTTCAGCAAAGCCATATTCACTAAAAAGTGAAATGCCAACATATTAAATACACACCTAATGGAAGGGCACAGAATTAAACTTATTAAACAACTGAAATACAACATGAAACAAACCATAAAATAAGTTCCTAATGTATTCTCCAGTCATGAATTTTTGTTCAGTATACTTGATCTAGTTTACAATAATTTCCACCCTATGATCCTAATCTCAAAATAGTCATTAAAGAACATATTTTGGACCAAGATCCATCTCCATGAAGTATAAAAATTACTGCAATTTTTCCATGATAAGTATTTTATACATATAAATAAATGTATAAAAATAAAATATATATTATATGTAAGAATAAGTCTACAGCATTACGTAGACATACTCTTCTTTAGGTATACATAAGGAATAATGCATGTCAAATTAATTAGATAGTTCCAATCTGGTTATCGCTAAGTTATTCCATCCATTAAAACTAATATCTTTCATAGATGCAAAATATAGTAAAAGGTATAAAGAATTTGCTTTGTTTCATTCTATAAAAGAAAGGCATCCTAAATGGTGGTTACATTTCTATACCAAATTAACACGCATTCCAGTATTAAAAATGATAAAGCAGTTACCATTAATTTTTTACTAAAAATCTTATGTGTTCTGAATGTTTAATTAGTGAATGGAAAATTGTATTTTAAATATTCTTTTAACATCTAAAACTTTTTGCCTTTGGGTTTATCTTTTCCTGCTTGTTTTAAAAGTACAGTTTATGTGGTTTGTCATTCCTTTTCCTTTTTATAACTTTCATCCTACACAGAATCTCTATGGCAATGATTTTCAAGCTGTACCCTAGGAGATGTAGAGGCCCATGGACTACTTCTACGTATTATGCATGAGTTAAAATAAGAAATGCAATTGTACCAGCAAATTCATTCCTCTGTATATGGGTCCTTATGCCCACTGAAAAATGTTTTGGGTCCATAAAAAGGAAATCATTGGGGGTAGGGGTTGTGAGGATGGAGATCACGGAGGCAATGCTATACTGTCCCACCAAACTACTTGATTTTTGAGCTATATAGCGTGCATGAAATCTTTTAGTAAGATCTGGCTGTTACAATAAAGGAAACAGAACTTATAAATACCCCACTAACAAATAGCCCTTAATACTGTTTTTTAGACCAAACAAAGGAAAAATAAAAATTAAAAAAACACCCCAACATTATAGATATTTTCCAAATAGATTGAAGGCAAGGTATCTTTAATTTTCATAAAACATAATATTAATTAAACTTGGTAAATTTTTGATGCAGTAGTTGCACCCATATGAAACATGCCTAGGAAGCTCCAACACATAGTTCAGACATTCTTTCCAGGCTTGGGTCTGGACAGTTCCATTATCACTATACTTATGAAACTCCACCACAAGTAATAAAACAAAATTTTGGAGAGATGGAAATGGCAAGATGCCACCCTATATACTTTTGAAAATTCACAGGGGATCCAAATGTTTCATAGTCATCCAAAATGAGAATTTAAACGTGTTTGGATCAATTACATCTAAATATCATCACCAACCTCTGTCCAGATGCAGTTGCTATAGGAGAGGGTCCATTAGGGGCACGTGGCTCTTCACATGTGCTCATTTCCATAACAACTTTATCCAAGGACTTGAAAAACAAAACAAAACAAAAAATTGGAGAGGTAACAAAGTAAATAGATGACATATAATGAACAAAAACCAACCAACCAAAAAAAAAAAACCAAACAACCACTTGACAACTTTTTCTAACATACATAAAACATTTCTTACCATGTCAATTTTCCCATAAACTTTTGTAATGTGCCAGACTTACCTTTTTTTAATTTGTTCATATAAATCTTTACATTTTGTGAATTCTAACAGACCTTCCCAGTCAAATATTGGATTACAGAATTCTTGATCCCTAAGTATTATTTATCAATCACACACATTTTCAAAAACTGCATTTCGAAAAGGGCATGATTTAATGCATGCTTATCTGGGTTTTCTTCCTATTCTTCCTATATTTTCCTTCAGGGAAATACTTAATACCTCCCAAGTTTTCTAAATGGTTCAATAAGTTCAGAAAATTTAAATGGAAAATATTTGAAACTAGTCCACTAAAATTGGTGATAGCAGATGAAGTTCTGCGCTGCATCTTTAAAACAAAATCTGAATATATATACTATATACACATATGAGTGCATATGCACTCTTGTGTGTGTATATGAATCTTCAGCAGATCTAGTAAAACAAGTAATTTCTGAAAAGATATATTCTAGTATAATTTGCAACACACCATATTGTAGTAAAATTGTATGCTATTATTGTATTCTTCGTACTTGAGGTGGGACCCTTACAAAAGATACTGGGAATTAAGAGAATTCCTAAGTCTCATTCCTAAATCCTATTTTAACTGAAGGCTATATTTAAATAGCAGAACTGTAACACACATTATAAATAATGCATACTAACAGGGGGATGAACAGAATGGGAACAAACCAAATGCAAAACCTTATTCCCAGCAAGTGAATAAATCCAAGAATCTCCTAACTTACAATATTTGTGACCTAAGTTTAACATACAACCTGGGAACGCTCTTAATTTAAGGCTTATGGTTCTGAAATTTTGTCCCGCTGGAAGCTCATTCAAAACACAACCGCTAATATTACTTCCCTATCTAGTTCTGACTTTATACCACCCCTTCCGAATTCCTCCATTTACCCTCTCTCAGGGCAGACAAACCACACTAAAAAGCTCTGTCCTCAGTTTTAGATTTTTCATGATTCAACCTGCCCTATCTACTGGACTTTATTATCATATTGTGTTAATTGTGCCTGTCTTGATAATCCACTTGCTCCACAAACACTTCTTTGTGCTACTCTTATCCATGAAATGCCCTTACTACTACCTAGAAATTCATAAACTCTCTACTCTGGATTTATTTATAATTCACTACCTTTTGATGGTTACAGGGAAGCATTAGCTGTTAACAGTAAATTTGACTACTCAAATTATTTTCTCAGCTGTCTCAATGAACAAACTTGCCTCGGAAAATGACAACAGAGGAAAAAACAAGAAAAAAACCAATCCCTTAGTTTGAGGATGGTGGGGGGAAGTCCAGATTTCTCCTGGTTACCCTAACATTTCTGGATGTTTGACCATTCTTTTAAGGTTTCTTAAATTAAGACTTCTAGAACAACTTCCCTCACCACAATTTTCCTTCACCACCTACTTTGCACTAGTGCAAAGAACAGTAGGGCAGTGATTTAAGGAGGTTGAGTAATAAAAATAGGAGTTAATGAAGAACATCTGGATGTAGATATCTGTCTATTCTTTTCTCACTTGCAACACTGTACATTGATAGAGGAAAAACTGCTGCATAGCATCCTTGGGTCTCCAAAGCACTCGTCAAAATTATATTGTTTATCATATAGAAACAGAAATTGATTATGAACAAAGGTAACTTAGTATTTGCCACTGTGTTAACAGACAGATTTTCACAAAGGGCAACTCAGCTCAATGAAAGTACCTTTGGTTAGACAAGTGGGTTCTAGTTATTTCTTAAAGCTATGCAGAGGATGCTATTCCAATTTAATTAAACTCTCAGTAGCAAGAATAAACCCACCAAAATAGTGGGAGTTCAATGATGTAATAAAGGGCTGAAGTTGGACACTTAGGCCATTGACTTCACGTTCCTTTAGAAGTCAAAAAGGCTGTTGTACAGTCTACCATTGAAGAGTGAACTTTTGTTATCAATTTAATGCACTTGTTCAGGAAAGCTTTATGTAAAAAAAATGTGACCTTGAAAGTTATCTTAGCCTCAAAGATTGCTAATGTAAGTTCAATAGGAGCAAAGCACACAATCAGGCCCTGCTACCGTAGGTCAAAGTATGTAATCTTTTAAGAATAGCATGGCTTAAACTGATTTCCTAATTTGGCAGTTGCATCTTACAGTCAAGAGGCTGAATCATCCCACCTCAGCATTACCACACTTCAAGCCCTGCGTGTCAGGAAGAAGCGGTACAGATATTAGTACATTACAACTGGGTCACTAGCAAATGCATAAAGTATTTAAAACAACATGCCTTTCCCAAGTCTGATTCAGGACTAAGGAATTACAAGGACATTCGGGAATTCACTGCAAGACTGGGAAGCATGACAGTTAAAGGAATATTCATTCCTAAGTAAACACACTAAAGAAAGTTTAGCCATCATCAAGCAAATAATTTCTTGTGCCACCACATTTCTTAGTATACTTAAGAACAAAATTAAACAAATACAAGAATTAGCATTACTTCTAATTGTTGTTGAGTCCTATGCACACATTTTACATCCTATTTATAACTAGGATGAATCCTAGGCTATCACAGAAACCCTGTAAATGTTATGTTATCAAACCTGCTATAACTGAAATCATTAAATAGAGTACAGATGTAGACTAGAAAAGTCCTTAGAAAAGATGGCTCCAAAAGACAGGCAGGAACTTGTAAAAGGGTTAGATGGACAAATAACTACCCTTCAGGTGAACCCAAATTAAGATGTAATAACTGAAGAACTTGACAGAAATTAGCTAATAGTCAAACATTATAGGGATGATGTCTAAAGCCATAGATTAAGAAAACAAACCTGCCAACAAAAACATTAACGTATTTTGTCTTCATCTGTCACTACCCAGAGGACACTTAGTAAAGACCCGTTAATGTTTCATTTATTTCTAAAGTCAAGGCTAGAGACCTACATAAATATGTGAGAGAAATTTGGCTACATGGAGTATATTTAAGAGTTGATCTCAGAACTCACCAAAGAGATGGGATGTGTTTTCAATTTTGTCCATGGTATCTGCAAGGGAAAACATTATTCTAAAGTAAAGTAATTATTAAAACCACAGTAAAATAAAGCACTTGTTTAGAATGTGTTTTATGTATACAAATTATATTTGTAACTCCTGAACTCAGAATAATATTACTTTGAAAATATCAAGTTTATCTGAAAATACTGTACAGTAAATTTATACACACACAAACATTTATTTTAGGTGTTAAAAACAGGACTTCAAAATCTACTCATCACTGAGCAGAAAACAGAGGAACAAAATAGAATCTGTCTCTTTAATATTGAGTTGTCAAGCATCAGAAAAAGCAACAGTGACTTCCACATTCTTTTCTGTAAAAGGAAAGAAAATCCACATTTGCTCTGTGGGCCTACAAGTAATTGGATGCTTGCAACAAAGCACCAAGTTCACTGCATTCAGAAAAATCAGGACAATCACCCATTAAGAAAAAAAAAAAAGAAAAAAAACCATGAAAGACTGAAGAGGTGCCAAAGTTTGAACAGATCATAACTTCTGTCAAAAACAAGCCATAGCTTCATTCTGTACTCTCATATTAGTATAATCTAGGAAAGATGATATACATTGCTTCAATTCTTAGCAGCCACAAGGACAAAAAAAAGCAATGTTTATTAGATTTAGAGGGTTTCCACATTACCCACAGAGACCAAAATCCCTCAGAAAGATATTTCTGGAAATAGGAAAAGAACAAGAGGGAAAGCAAGAGAAAGAGAAGGGTGCAGAGAAGAAATAACACATAAAAAAAGAGAATAATAAATCATTATACTAAACTAGTTACCATAGGTAAATACAAGGTTTTACCTCTAGCTCTATTTCAGAACATGCATGAATAAATTCTACTCAGAATGAAAAAAAAAATTAAAAGTATCACTGCTTATTTTCATAATTTCCATACGTATTTCATGTCATCACATGAGAACAAAAATTAGTAAGAAATTATTGCCGGTAACATCTTATTTTATCAAGAACTCATCACAATTTTCTATTAATACAAAGTAGCTTGAAAGTTTACAGAGAGAGAAGGAAAAAAAGAAAGATTTGGCTAATTACCATTCCAACACAATAAAATACTCACCCTAATGGATGCTTTATTGCAAAAGACCTTGTTTATAGCAAGCCATGTTGGAAGGTCCAGCATGTTCTGAAGCACCTCTTGATCCAGTTCTAAATTGGTCAGCTGACCTTCCCCCTTCAATGTGCTCAGGTTGATCTTGTCAGGTGACAGATTTTTGGTGAACCTAAAAACAAATGTGCACCTGAAGTAAATGCGTATAAAGCAATCAGAGCTGTCCCACATATAGGTGACAATTTAACTTAAAGCAATGGTCTGGGAGTGAGGAAATAGTCTTAGGATCTCAGGTACAACTTCACCCTGAAAAGAAACGGTACCACAGAATTGTTTTGTCCCTCTAATTTTTGCATCTCAATTCCATTTACAAATCCATAAACAAAATTAAATATATTATGAGGTATCTTCTAATTTGTCCATCACCCAAAATCACAAATCCTTGATTCAAAGTATTTAACTACTTATTTTAAAATATATAAGGAAGAAGCGAATCTATTTCACTCTTCTTTAGTTTTTTCAAAAGGAGAAAAAAAAAAATCCCAAGCCTCTACAACTTACATT